TGGTGCGTCAAATGATGATTTTAACGGAATTTGGTAATTTGCATATTTCTTTGAAATAAAAGGATATTTTGCCAAAAAAACTATCCAATAGTTTTTGTAATGCCCTAGCCTATCTACCATAAGAATATGAGCGAAATCGAATTTTCGACCCTTGCCGCGAAATTAAGAGTTTGTCTGATTTTTACAGGCGGCACTCTTAACTCCTATTGAAAGTACGAACTACATTCATGGGTTTACAATATACTAAATCAAGTTTCCTGAACCTTTTTATGAAATATTCCCATGTAATGTTATTGTAAAATAATTTTTTTATTGATAACTATTTATAGTTGTGGGGATTTTCTTTCATTGAAATAAACAAACGAATAAATAAATAAGCAAAGAAAATGTAGTATGCTTAAAAATGACTGTTAAATCCCTATTATTAACAAAGAATTTACAGTCCTTTCTGTCTGTTATTTGTCTTAAGTTAATGATACAAGCTCAAGATGATCAGCTAGATATGGTTGGACATAGTGTTGGAGTTTTAAAAACCATGGGAAAGAAAATTGGGGATGAAATTGAAGAACAAAATGTGTAAGTATTGTACATGTTAATGTAAATGCTTTTCATGGTCTTAAGCCCTGGCCAAACGGACTTGCGAGTAGCCACAAGTTGAACTTGCATAGAGACTTGCATTGGGTGGCCAAACGGACTTTCAAGTTTCCTCACTAGTACACACAAGTCGCAAGAAAACCATTTCAAGGCAGACATATCCTGTATTTCATTGGCTAATAATAGGTTGATGGATGTCACACAACTTGATTTGACTTAGGTTGGGTGGCCAAATGGTGAAAAACTTGCATTGACTTGCGTGCAAATTTGATCTTGACCAAAGCGAGCTTAAGTCATTGCAAGTCAATACAAGTGCACACGAGGCCTGGCCAAACAGAGTCGTAAGAGACCCAAGTTTTCAACTTACGTCTACTTGTGAGTACATTTGGCCAGGGCTTCAGAAACAAGAGTTTATTGTCAGTTGTAATTTTATTCGTGTAAGAAGGTTTCCAGCCAAAATGTTCCCACATACAGATTTTTTTGAAATTTTTTTTCCAATTGTCCATGGCACTTTACATTAAAGATTTTTAAAAAGCTAAAAGAAAGGGGGGGTGGGGGGGGGGGAATGTGAAAAATAGGAATAAACTTATTTAAAATTCTAAATACATGTGCTACTAGATATTTCCTCTGGACTAAACTTAAGGGATAGTTTAAGGTTTAGCTGTTAATGAACTCAAAGTCAATAAAGGTAAATTAACTACCAAAGTGAGTTAGTGTACCTAAGGTTTTGAGATCAAGCCCTTCATCAGAGCAAAAAAACATTTGCTGATGAATGGCCAACTTTGAAATGTCAGCTTGGCTAACTCAGTGCAGCAGTAATTTACTCTGTTAAGTGGATAAAGTGGTAAGTGTTCCACTTGCCGGCTGATGCAGCCCAACAATTTCTTTAGAAACTAATACTTTGTGTAAAGTTAACATACCCTTACCATGTTTAATTCCATACTTGCTAAATGTGATTATGCTATTTTTGCTTTTTTGCTTTCAGAATGTTAGACAACTTTGGTCATGAACTAGAAATGACTGACTCTAAGTTACAACAAACTGTTCTCAAAGTAGAAAAAGTTCTTAGATTGTCTGATGGTAAGTCATAGGTATTTCTTGATTTTGGAAAGTGGGTGAAATGGGTGATTCTGGAAAATATGATCCATACCATTCCACTGGCAGAATGAACATTTTAACCCCCGTTGCCTTTGGAAATTCCAAAATGCTTTACCCCCCTTGCCTTCCAAATTCCAAAATTGTTAATCCTTCCTTCCAAACATCTGTTTTTACTTCAACCATCTGGAATCCTAGTTTGACTCCTACAACTTCCAGTGAAAGAGATTTTACACTTTTACATCTTTCCCAAAGTTTACTAACTGTCTACAGGGCTTGAAATTTCGACCAATACATTTGCATGGATTCATGACTAAATGTTCAGTGACTAAAATGTCCTCCTCCTCAGTTGCAATTTTGCAACCAGTTTTGGACTAAACTAGTGAAGGAATAAAAATTTCAATTGTTTTATGTGTTAATTACTATGGAAAATAGAATATGTGTGGGCAAATCCTACCTAATTTACCTTCAATATTATGCACGATATTCACTTGTATAGATGCCTTTAGAGCAGTTTCTTTATGACTATGTATTGCTGGCGCATAGTAAACAAACATGGCAGGTCGGCATTCTTCGCAAACAATTTTCTGACAAGAAATTATCAACCTTAAGGCCTCTGGAACCCAATGTACAACCCAGATTTTATCGGTTTTCTTCTGTAAATGAACGTGAACACATTCGTGATCAATCAATGCTGTGTCTTGTACATATATCTTGCTTTCCACAGTAGTCAGCAGTGTGTCAGTTTGTTTGTACTTCAACACTCTTGTCTGTCCCCTCCAGAGACCCCCTTGCCCTCGGAATTCCAATTGCTAGTACTCCCCATACCTCTGGATTTCCAGTTCAAAGAATCCCCCTTGCCCTAAGAATTCCAAAAAGGCACCTGTGGTGTAGGTATGGATATTTTGTGGAATCAACCAATGCTATAGATGTAACAGGCTACATCATTGTCTTTTGTAACAGTAAATAAAAGCTCAGAGCATTACACCTAGCCCTCAAGCAACAAGGGGCCAGTATAGGTTCACAGTTGGAGCCAGTAGTAGCATTTAATCAGGACTCACTAGAGGTTCACAATCAACATGAGTCAATAAGGATTCTCTGGAGATTTACCATTTATGGGCCACTCGGGGAACACCATAGAATGCTCAAGGAAAATAGAAGCTGTGAAGATTAATAACTCATCCAAACTTGACCCGCCTAGATTAGCTCAGCTATCTGCGGGCATGTTATAATTGTAATTTTAATTTGATAACAAATAAAATGTATGTATGTATGTATGTGTGT